TTTTTGAGGGTTGATAAGTATATTTTACGTGTGTTGGGTTTGGTAATAAACCTTGTCAGGGACTTAATATTCAAATATTTCGGTAAAAACATTTTCTGCATGAAAATTTCGGTCATATAAAAATCTTCGAGGAAGAGCCAAAAGAGTTTTAAAAAAATGAATCCCCCATCGTAGGGAACATCTTGGTCAAGTATTTTTTGTGGAGTTCGCGGTCCAAAAGACGATGAAATCGTAGTTTAAAGTGTGGGTTTTTTTTTTCAAATATGGCGACTGTACTTTCCTCCCTTGTCAGAGTATATACACATGACGACATGACACATAATCTTGTTATTGGGTGTAGTAATAAACCTTGTCAGCCGGGACTTAATATAATTCAATTATGTTTTCACCTGCCTTTGGAAAATTACATTAATAAAATAAATAAGTCAGATATAAAATTAAAACTTGGGTAACTAGCAGAGCAATAAATTTGTTCAACAAACTCTGCCCTGAATGCTATACTATTTGATGAGCCTATTGCATGCTATCAATCAAAACTCTCTGTTGTTTGGTTGGTGTGAAGATAAGAAGACGACGTGAGGACCACCGGTGAAGATAGTGATTTTCAACAGAAGTCAACTGTTCTTGCGGCTCTGCAGCTCTATAGTAAAAGAAGAAGAAGAAGAAGAAGAAGAAGAAGAAGGAGAAGAAAAAAATGAAGAAGAATCACACAGGTAATCCAGTAAAATAACGAAGGTATTTTATGAGCGGTTTACCACAGGTAACCCGCTAAAAAACAGACGCATTTCATGACTGAGCTACCACAGGCAACCCAGTAAAAAGACTATGAAAATTGCAGTCCGAAAAAACTTAAACAAATAGGCCCTTTGCGGCTCAGCATAAATCACGTGCTGATTAAGTCACTGATAGCAAATGAATGAACATCTTGATTCTCATGGGTGAAATATACTGGTGAGCAAACAAAATTTCTACAACCTGTTTCGAGAGATCGTAATAAAACTGCATTTCGTAACACACTGGTTGCACATCGTTTCATTCAGTTCTTTACGAGTAGCTATAAAGAATCATTAATTTAAAATAAAGTAAAAATTTTTTCTTACCAGTACAGACACGTGACCGTTAACTGCAAAGGGCCCATTATACGGCCATGCATGGATAAACGACATAGGCCCATCATCCAATCCAGAAACTGAGAGTCTGGGAAGCCTGTGTTCCCACTCGCAATGCATGATGCAATTTCCCAGAATGCTGTTCGTCAGCTTTACGACTGTATTGAGGACGTGGCGGCCATAGAGAGCAAGAAAATATTCACTAAAACAGGCAAAAAAATAACCTTAAACTAAAGAAGAACGTCTCTTCTCTCCCAAAATGGTAGGTATACTATTATTCTTTGTATTTATGCGATAATTTGTGAGTTTTCCTTAACGGTTAAGGCTGTTCTAGTATGGTTACGTGTCCTAACTTCTTTGAGATTCAGTCAAAATGGAGGAAATATGAAGGAGACATTCGCTGGCTTTACATCCATAATCCTTTGTATTTTTACATTATTTCCTTACCTTCTCTCGTTTATTATAACGATATAAGATCCTATGACGCCTGTCCGGAACAAGTTACCTCGTTATCTCAATTTATAAATGTCTTGTTAAAGTAATAATCACAAATCATGTGAAGTTTTTGATCTTCCAAACTGATCGCCTTACTATATGATAGAAATCTCATTGATGGATATTGTGTTTTCTAGGTGCTTCTTGCCTCAGCAATATGTACAAAAAGTGGAAAAGGTTGGTTCTTCCTAAAAATATTTATTGAATTTTCTCTGGATTGAACCATTTTATTTAATTTAGACTTACTGTTCTTTGTATTTGAGAATCTTAGGGAAGTTTTTAAATTTTTGTCAATATTTTGTAATTTTAACAATTATTTGCCAAATGCAAAGAGTACATGTAAATATACCCTGATATTCACATAGCGTGAGGTGACTAATTGTTTTTATTACATACTTGCCAAGAATTGGTATAGGTAATAACACGGTTTCATATTCAATTTGGGATCAATTTGCACGAGTGTGTTTTTCAAAGGTCAAAATTGCACGAGATCGTACGTCGAGTGCAATTTCAGTTCTTTGAAAAACACAGGAGTGAAAATTATTCCAAATTGAACAAGAAATCGTGTTATTACATAAAAAAAGTTTCAAAAGAAAGACAGAGCAGAAAAACGGGTTCTACTTTCGACGTTTATGCGTTAATAAGCTTTATATTTCATAAACAGGCTCTTTTGGGGCTGATTAACAAAATACCAAAATTTGGGGAAATTTAAGGAATGCGTATTTGAGATATAATGCCCTGATTGTTGGGAGAAATGATATTTTGATCGGCGCAAAAACTAGCATTTTCGCTAATACCTTGAAGTAGAATTTATCGAGGTTAGCAGAATTTTGTGAAAAGTTTAAAGCACAAGAGGCACGAATGAAACACTAAACGTTTTTAGCATGAATGAGAGATAAAGAAAAAAAAAAGTGAAAGTAGCAGCCTTGTTGTTTTTCTGCTCTGTCCAAAAGAAAGAAACAAAAATATGTAACGCATAATATTTTATGAAATTAGTTCGTTCACAACCAACTATATTCAAAGCGATTTTGGCTTCAAATACATGTAATTCAAAGAGTATTTTATTTATTTTAAACCGATGTTTGGCTATATATGTTGAATGTAAAAAGTTTTTTTTACTGTAAAGTAAATCTGAATCACTATGAATGAAGACATTTGGATTTGCTGAGTTTGCAGCTAACTGGAGTTGTAAGACTTATATTAAACAAAATTATACCTGACAGTTGTTGAAAGTGTTCAGAAAACTTTGACGCTCAGGGATCTTGTAGACCAAAATGTTGTGTAAGCACTTACTACATCGTGTTTCATTTCTGTTTTAGTTTTTGCTTTACTTTGGCAAAGAATCGCTCAAGTATTTTCTTTTAGAGGGACTGGCTCATTTCCCTCAATTCATGTCATACTTTGTTTTTTTTCTCACTATTCCTTCCATATATTTAGCCATAACAATGTACTTTTACTTGTGTTTTCCTTTTTGAGCTGTTTTTTAGTTGTTTCATAGTAAAATCTGTAAAGTCTTTGCTTACCTACATGTAAGGTAAAGTGGCTTCCATTTTCCCCATGGATTTGCTTCAAATTTACCTCAAAGTTTTCGTCATAAAATCTGTCATCTTATTGGCTGAAATAATTTTCTATTGTTTACTACCCAATCAAAAGCAAGAATTCTGTTTGTAATTTGTACTGTGTTACACTTTCTGCACTGAATTACATGTACACTTGTTTTCACTGTACATGCTCTAAGCCAATCAGAATTGAGTAATTTTTTCATGTATGTTGTTATATAGGTAATTGTATGGAGCCCAGTAAAATAAGGATTAGTTTCAATCATGAAATTAATCCTTAATTTTACAAGGAACCATGCATTTACCTGTTTAACACATGTAGATATGTGATCTGAACTCCTCAAAAAAATATTAAATTGTAGTTTAGTATATACATTATGAAACATATTTGTCCTACTGGCTATGAAATTGGAAACAATCTCTTAAGGCATGGGAGGTTCAAAGTTGGTAGATGCTCATGCAAAAATATTGGGTTGAGTCTCTTATCAGTGAAAAGACAAAATTCAGGATAAAAAATGTTTTTCTTCCTATCTGGCAAACTTTGGAAAACCTCATGATTGCCACTCAAGCAGCAATTGTCTCTGAATCACTGGTCATGAGACAAATTACAGCAGGCAAAACTCTATATTCAAGTCTAAAATCATATTAAAATTCATTAAACTTGAACTTTTACACTAGTCTTGATAATTCCTCTTCCCCTATTAAGATAAATTTGTATAAAATCAGTATTTAAATATGGTCTAGAACAATGTCAACAAGTTAAAAGTTATATTAGCACTTTTGCACTACTCTATTATTCATAATGAAAATGTTCATTTTTGGACTATTCAGTGTGATTTTAAAGTAAAAGTGACTAGGGATGTACAGTTTCATGAGCTCAATAATATCATGGCTTTTTCTAATATATATGTTTGAGATGCCTTTGAATTTTGTTGATTGACATGAATATATGTCCATCACAAAACGTTACACCATGAGAAATATGTGTCACTTGACATAAATGTAAAAAATGAAAAAGCGCAAATGTGACCCTCCACAGGATTTCAGGTAAAAAGATGATGACATGCGCACACAAATTAACACCCTAAACAAAGGAAAATTATTTTAGCACACCATTCACCATGCAGTAAAAATTTCTTTTGTCTTTCATTGCACGATAAATACAAAAGAGCATGTTTTGTTGAACAAAGAAGTGTGTCAGGACAAGAAAAATGACTTTGCTGAATTTGAATGAGTTAAAATTAAACCGAGAGAAAAACCAATACTAGCTCTGAAAAGAGCACTTTTATTTTAGTAACCCTACTAAGATTCATTATGTCAGGTGACATATGGGCCAAGAAAACTTTAGTTGAAAATTGACAAATTTGTATGTCTGGGGGGTATATGCTAAATAGACAGATAGATACACTTTAATTCACCTTTTCTGCGCTAGCGTCATGTGGTATAAACTCAGTGAATTTGTATGGGAATCCGAAAACGATGTCCAAACTTTTTGGTAGATTAAACTACACAGTTCCTTATATATTAGCAGACCTCATTAGCATGTAAAACTGTGATATACCAAATTCACTCTGTTGAGGGGTCTGAATATGCAAATGAGGAATGATATGACACTACACAAAGCTCTTGTATAATAAAGACCACATTGGCTATTTATATGAGAAAATGAGCTACTGATGTTTAATGTGGGATATTTCTAGCGCTGTGGACCCACTGTGCATGCGCACACTCGCACATAGTTTTATCTTCGGATTATTTATATTAAAAGAATCAGGGAAAGATACAGGTTGAAGTAAAACAATACAGTATAACACTGAACTAAAATTCCAATGAGTCAAACCTTTTCTCTTGCTTATTTATTAAAGCAAACAGAAATGCTTATGTTTAATCGTCAACAGATTTGGATTTTTTCAGAGGCAGATGCATCAAAAGAAGCACATTTCATTAGGATTCAAATAAGAGTCAGAATTCAAGCTTTGGAGAAATTTATTCTCTTTATTGAGAAATGTCAAAGTCATGGCAGTATTTGGCAAAAAAATCTTATAAACTTGATCAAGCAAAGTTTTCTTTAATTTACAGATATACATGTATTTTGTGCTATGTTGTTAATTATAAGCAGGTTACAGTAACCCTATAATTTTTCTTTTCCAGCAATTATCTCTCGTCAATTCGTTGAAATGACAAGATCAAGAATCGAGGGTCTTCTGGCAGCATTTCCCAAACTGATGAATTCTGGGAACACGACTAAGCAACATACATTTGTTGAGACAGAGAGTGTGCGATATGTGTATCAGCCACTTGAAAAACTTTATATGCTTCTGATTACCACAAAACACAGTAATATCCTGGAAGATCTTGAAACACTACGACTCTTCTCCAGAGTGGTATGTTTATTTATTACACTTTGTTTTTATTCATTTATTTTTCTTATATCGCTCATTTGTTAGTGGACTCACTCATTCCCGATATGATATGGAAACTTGTGAATAAAAATGATATCAAGCTCTTAAGATGTGATAATCTCTGAAATATATACATTCTGTTAATAACAATAAAGGCATGGCTGCCATGTTTCATGACATGCACTAAATGTTTACCAAATCTGGCAATTTGATGGGGTAATATTTTCTTTTCACATTATCATTTGGATCCATTTTGCATTGGCCTCTGCTTTCATGTGTTTAGTGTGACGCTTTTTTAATTTGCATGTTTTTATGCTTGGAGATCAGAAAATGCTGAAACAATTGGATTATTGCAAGCTCTCCCTCTCCATCCCTCCCCAATCCCCTTCCCTTATCCCTTTTCTCCCATCCAAGAGCCGCTTGGCAGGCCAGGATGGATTATGTACTCATTGACTGAGTGGGAGGGCCGTACGGGAAAATATTTGGCTCAAGGTCTGTTCAAATGACCGAGAGCCAAATATTTTCCCGTACGGCCCGACTTAACTCATTCAATAAGCATTTTATCACATGAACCTCACGAAAATGAAAATAATTAAAAAAAAGAAAGCGTGCGGATTCAAGAAGGGCTGGACGGATTTTTCCGGCCCGCTTACGTCAACCCATCCGGCCCCCATCACGTGACTTTTTCCAATGTTTTTATTAGAGCGTGCGAGCAGGGACGTACGGGTCATATGATAAAATAATGTCTGTTAATGCAGCCAATCAGAACACATGATACACATATGATACTGGACAGGGGATAAATAATTAACAGCTATGTAATCATATGTACGTCTGCAATGTTTTTTGTAATTAGCAGAGTCAAACATTTGTTAGTCTTAACCCATGATTATAGCAGTGTTCTTAAGCTCACCCTTCCTCCCCCATTATTGATTACATTGTAGATTCCAGAGTACTGCCGAGCAATGGAGGAATCAGAAATAGTTGAAAATGCCTTTTCCTTGATATTTGCTTTTGATGAAATTGTTGCTCTTGGATACCGTGAGAATGTTAACTTGGCACAGATCAGGACATTCACAGAAATGGACAGCCATGAGGAAAAGGTTTTCCAGGCTGTCAGACAGGTATCTTGACAATATTCCAGTTTCAAAGTCAGATCTGTAGAATTTCAAAGTGTACTGTATTGTTGAAGCTGTGCATTCTTGACTTCACTGTTACTGTTACACTGAAATGAGGCTAGACTTGCCCCAAGTCGACCTCTCTTGTTTTCTCTGCGTTTTTTTAATTCGAGCAAAGCGAGCGAGCGACGAAGTCGCGAGAAGTCGACTTGTCGAACTTGCAGGATATTCATTTGCGTTTCCCGCCATTTCCGAATTTGATATGGGAGGGTCGGCTTTCGGGGGCGGAGCTAAAGAATTGTGGTTTTCATTTATTTGTTTCTTCATGTTATATCCGGAGCAGCAAAACATGTTTTATCAATAATAATGGTTGATGCTATAACTCCAACTAAAACTGTTGAAAGGATAGCGATATCTCCTGCGTCCAAACAAAAAATATGCTTTCTTTGCGCCAGTCAAGTTCCGAACAATGACTATAGACGGAAATAGGAAGGAGAGATCCCCGTTGATTTTAAAGACGTTACTTGGTCTTCAATTAAAGAGACCAAAGGGACAACAACAACAACAACAGTCTCAATTAAGTTTTTCTCACCGAACCTCATAAAATCTAAGGCGAATGGAGCGATCTCAAATGTCAGGCTTTTTCACGCTCCTGTAGGTGCAGATATAAAAATATCTCTGCCTGAAAGATACGCTTCTATACTTTGTTTCTGGTATTCTCTTATAGTTTCGTATCCTAATTTACTTTTACCCTATGATATGGCCTCAGATATTGATCTCATGTTGTCAGACAGATGTTGTGTTGACAGATGCCGATGGGAATCGTAGAGATAATCTTACTAATCTTACATTGTGATTGGCAGCTTGGATTTCAAGCATTGTGATTGGCTATAATTTACCGACTGATTTTTGGGTCGGTAAATTTGGCGGAAAGCAAGGTCGAAAAGTCCGTCGTGCGCCCAGTAAAAAAAAACCAAGTTGGCAGCGGACTTTGCGAAAGTCTAAAATGAGGCTAACACTGAGTGATTTATGAATTTGAAAAAAGTGTATTACATGACCACTTTACTCTATTGAAGTATGGGGGTGAATAAGACCTTTCAGCTCACAAGTTATCATGACCTCTCCCTTGAATCTTATGTAGTGATATTTATTAACTGAATCGTTGCATTAGTAAATTGTCCTTTTTTGTGTTAGAATTATTGAATGGTTTTTTTTCTCTCCTTTGGTTTCTAGACACAAGAGAGAGAAGCCAAAGAAGAAATGAAGAAAAAAGCAAAAGAACTCCAAGCAGCAAGAGTAGCAGCAGCCAAGGGTCGTGGAGGCAAGATGACCATGCCAGGATTTGGTGGGTTTGGTAGTGGTACATCTAGATCAGAGATTTCTGCTGCTAACATTGAGACAACAGCAGTTATAGATACAACACCAGCTCCTAAACCAACCTACCCAACAAGGTTAGTCGGTAGCCCTAGAGGCAAGAATCTGATTGTGTGTAGTTCCAGAAATTATCCATACCCCCTTCCCAAGTGTGTGTGTGGGGGGGGGGGTACACAAGACACATTTTCCATATGGATACAGTAAATTAGCCTAGTACAATACTGACAATCATACAATACCTTACCCTGTCCATAAACTCAGTTTCCACAATCATTTTCTCAGTCCTTTCCAAGTGGATGTGCAAGGAGGCATGATTTAAAAATTTTTGATCCAAAAGCTCTCTTAGAGGATTTAAAAACATAAGATCATTTCCTGACTCCACTGCTTCAAGAAACTAGTCATATTCAATGGAGAACTCGTGGATATTAAAGTGTATCTAATTTGAGTTATACTTAGTGTGTAGAAATTATTATATGAGTATATGTTTTCTGACTGAGTGATTGGTTTTATTATTTTTTACCCTTTAGTTCATCTACTGTATCTTGCAAAGAAATTGATTACAGATTCTTTAAATGTGCCTTTAGCACCTAACTTAATATTTTCAGTATTGATTCTACATAAAGTGAACATACCCATATGTAATTATGTCAGTAGACAGTCTATCTTGACGCACCCAGCTTAGGATCAAATTATGTTTTGCTTTTTTTAGATCTTTGCTCAAGACTTCTTTCAGAATTACTTGCCTCTTTTTCTTTTCCTTTGTAAACCGATACATGTATTTGTAAATTGGTCATTCGTTAAAAGAAAATTCTCATTGTACAAGTGTGCTAGAAGTTGAATAATACAAGATCAATCTGAAGGTCAAAATGCATGCGTTTCAGAAATTTGTATTCATGATTTTATTTATTTGGGTACAGCCCCAAAGACTCCTTGGTACTATTGTGCAGCATGTCCATTTTTTAGGGGAGGAATCAGGATGGAAAAATATATCAAATATCACTTCAACTATTCATTTCATGTAGAATCAATGCTGAAAGTATTGAAATCGGCCTTTATTTTTAAGAATGCCCTCGCCCGTGAGTTTGATTGGATTTAATAACCAGCCCCGGTCTGTGATTTACATTGTACGAACAATAGACTTGGATTTCATATTGATTTGATATGAATGTTCCAAGGACAGTTCTATATTTTTGAATTGCAGTCTTTTCGCACACGGACTATTTCGCACACACATTTTCACCCACGTATAAAATTGCCTATTTAACGTATAAGGCTGTTACATACACGGATCAAATTGCTTTTTGATTTTTGATTTTTAGGAAATAAAAAGTAGAAAGCATTTGGTGTACAAATGTTTTCATTTGAATCCAAGATGGCGGCTCAATTTGTTTACTCTTCCCAGTTCTCACTCTTAAATTGGAGTTGATTTATTTTATTATATTTTTTGTACATTGCTTTCAAAACATAAAAAGCAAAATATACACTTATTAACTCACAAACACAACAAATTACTTTTCACCAACATTATTCTGCAGTACGACTGTAGCCACATGTAGTCATAGACTACCTATTTTTATTTTTGCACTATTGGTCTGTCACTGATTGATCAATTAGAATGCAGCATTCATAATACTCTACCAGTTTCTTGCGAATAGAATACATGTGGTACAGTACATGCACAACTTTGTCTGTGCCAGTTATGGTACTGCCAGTATGGTATATACAACAGTGAACTCCTTCATGATCTCTTAATATATAATGTTTGATTTTTAGACCTGCTGGTTCTGGTAAGGCTATGAAGCTTGGTAGTAAATCCAAAGATGTGGATACATTTGTTGACAAACTACGATCAGAAGGCACAGGTAGGAGAACAATACTGACATATAAGGTGGTTTTCATATAAGTGTTGATAACTAGTCTATTAGGACATTCCTCAGGAATAAGGCAGGTCCAAGTATTATGTGGCTTGATCTGTAAAAATATGAGGTAGAGCAACACAGTTATGGTACATCATTAGCTTGCATACATTACAGTATGCTGGGTTACCAGACTATACATTTCATTGACAAATGTTGGATGGGATAAACATTATTAGTCTCCTACGCAGCCATCATCAGTGCTATCCAGTCTTAATTCATTTCTGGCAAGCATTAAAATTTACATTATTGAATGTCATTCTCAGTGTTCTAGTATTGAAACCCAGCCAGTTTTTACCATTTCTACCTATCTTGTCAGGCTTCAAATAATGGAAGGACAAAGATCAGGGTTTCCTTTAGAAATTGGTACTTCATTACCGATTTACCATAGCGCTTCTCTTTGGCTTTCCAAAGTACGAACCTCAGAAGCTTAAACAAGTTCTGAACGGTGCTGCTATGCTTCTCACTAATACACGTAAAATTGACCACATCTATGCAGTACTATGGATTGTTGACTATTGATAATCAGGTTTCCATTTTCTGAAAACCCTGACATATTGTTTGCCAAGGTTAATGCCAGGGTTTCCAGAAAATGGAAACATGATTCTCATTGGTCAACCCCATTTAAAAGGAATGTAGTGCTTGAGTGAGCAGCCGTTAGTGGGAAGAGAGCATTAGGTTCTTAGGGAAACTAATGATGGCTGCAGAGGAGACAAGACCTTAAAACATTATCTTTGTATGGAATGTTCTTTGTCCAGTTATACAGTATTATTATTATCATTGCAGAAGTTATTAGTCACAAACAGAAGTCTGTAGCTAAACCTGCTGCTGCACCAGTCGTCAATATGTCAAGGTATGTGATGCATACATAATATTTAGAAACAATAGGAGCACCACATTATACAATGGATATTCATGTGTGAACTCCAGTGAGGCATTTAATTATTAGTGTGAGAAAACCTTAGATGGCTAAAGTTTTTTCATACTATGATCTCAAGCTATTTCACAGAAGCTGTATTCATAACTTTATGTTGCTGTTTCCAATTGCATCAGGGTTATTTTTTGCAGAAATAGGAGGCCTTGTCCTTTGTCAAGCATAACAACGAATAAAGTGTTAGGCAAATAATTTGAATGTCCCTGATAATCTTGAATAATCCTTGAAAAGTCCTTGATTTTTTCTTGAGAATCCAGCACGAACCCTGTTTAGAAAAATGAGCAATTTGTTTATCGTGGTAAATTTGATTAATTTGAAATGCATAAGAAACTTTCATCCTATATCAACATATGACCTGAAAATCAGATTGATCGAATTAGAATAAATAAACCTATTGTCCAATTTAAAATCAGGAGTGTGACCTAGAAAAAAACTACTATTTTCAACATTAAAACAGCTATGAAACTAGTAAGCACAGAGATTTAGCATGCTTTAGGTGTGATACCAAGGTGAGAAGCACTTTGCACACCCCCAGGTTGGTAATTGCCCATTTAAGCAAGAAAATTTTAGGTTTTGGCCTCAGTTGCTAAGTTATGCCTGATTTTTTCTTTGGTTTTACTATAACATTGTTGAAGCCTCAGGACAAGGCGTAGTATATAGTTCACTGTTTTTATGTCAATTGTTAGCTAAATCAAATGATTTTATGGTTGCTTTGTCTACCCTGTTTCGGTGGTCTGCTTATGTGTCGACGGTGACCCAAATTCACAGATTGTTGGTCCTATATCAGCCCTGTTTTGGCATTCTGGTCATATGTTGAACCTGTTTGGGTAGTCTAGTTATGTGTCAACCATTAGCCAAATTCAGAGTGTGTTAAAATGGTATTCATGTGCACATGACATTTTTGTGGGCCATATTTTGTGTAGTCTTTATACTCTTTTAATAAACACACCACACCTTATTTTCTGCATTTGACTTGAAATGTATTCTTTTGATATTTATTTGTTTTAAATGAGCTTGAAAAAAATGAATTTGACTTGAAAAAAAAATGGACATCAAACATGGAAAATAAAGCATTGTGGGATTTATTAAAAGGGTCCATACCAATAAAAGTTATAATATTTGATTGTGTTGTGTTATTTCTCCAGTGTACACTTGAAAACAGAGGAAAAGATAACATTAACAGCTGGTCGTGATGGTGGTCTACAGAATATGGAAATCAGAGGACTTGTGGTCCTTAGAATTAGTAATAGTGAAGTTGCAAAAATCAAGCTGGCTGTGGAAAATAATGATGATAAAGGCTTTCAGCTCCAGGTATACTATCCACCACCTAATCTGCTAGTTTGACCATTATTCTGTTACTCTAGGTAGACCAGTTTATAGGCCGATCTTTATTTACTTTTTTCCTCATTAGCTGCTGCTAATGTTTCTGATGCTGCTGTTGATGCTGCTGTTGCTGTAGTTGATGCTGCTGTTGTTGTTGTTGCTGATGCTGCTGTTGCTGTTGTTAATGCTGCTGCTGTCTTTGCTGATGCTGCTGTTGCTGCTGTTAATGCTGCTGTTGTTGCTGCTGTTTCTGATGTTGCCTAGATTCAGTAAGAATGGAAATAGAACATGACACTTATATCTGGTGTGCTTGTTTTGTTTATAGACCCATCCAAATGTAGACAAGAAGTTGTTTTCATCTGAGAATGTTATTGGACTCAAACAAGCTGGTAAATCTTTCCCTATTAACAATGATATTGGTTTGTTAAGATGGAGATTACAAACAACTGACGAAAGCCTTATGCCTTTATCAAGTAAGTATTATTTTCTACTTACTCACAATAATATTAGGGTGGTAACCCCCCTTAACCATTATTATTAGGCTGAATTTTTACTTTCATTTCGTTCCGACAAGCTGGGGTTACTGACAAAATTACTGCGATCTGATTGGTTCCCTGCAGTCTGGACCATCGTCAATTTGAAAATGTAACTGTATAATTTTATGAAGCTCATGTGATCAATAATCATGATGTTGGTGTACAAAACTAACTAATTTCCCGAGGGACAACACATTAAGTGTTTCGTTATATAGCAATTTATTTAGCAAGCTATTTTTTAATAAAAAATGCATGAAAACTGACAAAATGATTTTACAAATGCTACTCACATACGGTCTTATATTTCGCTACCAAAAGCGAGGAGAGTAGCAGTAGTATTTTTAGGCTGCGTTCATAATGTA